TTCCTACTGACAATCATTTGCCAACCCTCCCCCAAAAAAAAAAAAAACAAACTTCCAAAGCCACCTCCTGGCTGGAAGTTATCTGGAGAATTGGGGACCTTCAAATGCCCAGAAGATGCAAGCCTGGCCAAATACAGAAAGACATGTAAGCAGGAAAGTCTTTTTTAAACATGTGATGATTCCAACAAGCACAAATATGAAAAAGCATCAAATGTTCATCCACTGGAGACCCAGGTGGGAAGGGAGGGAGCGTTATCTGGCTGGAGCATGGCCATATGCACCCCACTTCATACCAAGCTGTCACTGTTCTCATGGGTGACAGCAAGCTGAGATGCAGTATGAAGATTTGCCATGCATCAGTCAATACCCAGCATAACTACAGGGCATCCTAGACCAACTCCAGGACAGTGAAGTTGTCGTATTCACACCTCTGAGAGTCAGGGTGGACCTTCCTCTGGCCCCTCCCTGTCACAGCTGCCACTAAAGACTTGAGATGGCTGGGATAAGAACCTAAACAGAAACTGAACAGGAAGTCTTGAGCCCTGAGAAGCTGTCCCCAAACAGGCAGCAGTCTTCTGGTGACATACATCCTCAGGGTACCTGGGGCACTTCAAGCTTGGCATGTAGTCCCAAGAGACACACCAGCTCTGTCTTGACCTTCCCATGCATTCCCAGGCTGCCAGCCAGAGCAGTTTCTTTAAAAGAAATGTCCTGCCTAAACACACCTATACCCCACAGCTTCTTTGAGATCTCTAGAGACAGAAAGAGCCTTCCTGACCTAGCCCTCCGCCTCACCAGCCTTAGGCTTACTATGCTCCCTCCACTGAATGTGTTCCAGCTAGGCTAACCCACTCTTGGACTTCATTGGGGTCCCTCCTGGAGACCTGAGTTCCTTGAGCAAAGGGAACAAGGTGTATTTCCTCCCTCCTCAGGGGCATCTGTCCCAGCTTCCTGTACCATGCAGGCCACTGCAGCCATGGCCATGCTCTCCAGATCTGTCTAGTGGCTAGCTATCTCGATAAGAGGCTGTGTTTCCAGCAAGGTGCCATATGTACCAGCTTTGAGTGCCCTAGTCCTTCCGGAAAAGAGGGAAAGGGAACAGTCCCAGTGAGGAACCTTCTTTTTCCTTTGGACATAAACATGTGGATTTCAACCCTCTAAGGGAAATGAAAAGTCCCATCACATCCTTAACATGTTTCCTTTTCTGACTGGCAGCCCAGACCAAGCAGGAAGCCTCTACAGAGAGCCATTTCTAACCTTTCCACCTGCTGCTTCTGTCTCTGAAGCTTGGCTTTACGAGAACACAACCCCTTCTGATGTTCCATTTTCCATGATTCCTTCAAGACCTTGAAAAAGGAAACCAGAAGGGATGATACTTAAAGCCGACGACGGCCCCAGAGCCAACACTGAGTGCTCTCTGGACTGTCACTTCAAAGGTTCTTCCTCTCGGGGAAGTCCCATGAGGCTGGTGAGTGCTTTCTCCCCATTCCCAGTGAGGAACCTTCTTTTTCCTTTGGACATAAACAAGTGGATTTCAACCCTCTAAGGGAAATGAAAAGTCCCATCACATCCTTAACATGTTTCCTTTTCTGACAGGAAAGAATGAAAGGACTATTTTCTCCAAGGACTCAGAAGGAACGCATTAGAGTAAACAAACTTCAGAACCAAAACCCTCGAATCCTTATTTATTAGATTTGTCCTTTGCCTACACCTTAAAAGTCACACATCAAGGACGACGGTGATGCACCTCGGTCACCGAACTCCAGGCCTCCGTCTGCGGGTCAAGCAGTATCTTACAGTGCCAACATCTTCCAAAGGCAACTTAATACTAGTTATAGAAAAAAATAAAAGGAAATGGAACAGAACAGTCCTCTGTTCTTCCTGTCAACAAGCAACAGTAGGTGTCACCAGGGAACCAGGCCTCTGCTTACCCAGGTCCCCACACAGGGACCCACACCAAGAATCTCTGTCCCTTCTTCCCAGGCCATCTGTCCTATAACAACTCCAAAATCCTGCCCCAATCCCTCAAACTACATTCTTTTAAAGTGGATGCCAGTGGAGATTCAGCTCCAAGAAGGGGCATCACAACACTTGGAAATGGGTTAGGTGAATGTACCAGTTACTTTCTATTGTTGTGTTAAAGACACCATAGCTAAAAGCACCTTCAGGAGGAAAGAGTTTGTCTTACACATCCAATCACAGCCCATCACTAAAGAAAGCAGGGCATGAACTAAGGTAGGAAGAAAGCTGGGGCACAAACTGAAGCATGGATAGATCCTGCTTACTAGCTTTCACCTCATGATTTGCTCAGCCTGCTTTCTTACAAAGCAGAAGGACCTCCTGGCCAGGGGTAGCACTGACCATAGTGGACTAGACCTTCCTACATCAGTTAGAAATCAAGACAATACCTCAAAAAACCTGCCTACAGGCCAATCTCATGGGAGATTTTTCTCAATTAAGATTCACTCTTCCCAGATAACTCTAGGTCTCTGTCAAGTTGAGCAAAAAAAAAAAAAAAAAATCAGCACAGTAAATAACAGTGTGTGTGCAGGATGGATGGAACAATGTGGCAACTTAAATACCACTAGAGAAAGTACTGACAAACAAGAGTACATCACTTGTCCCTGAAGGGAAAAAATGTCATTACAGAACATTTAAAAGCACGAGGCTTTTGCTGGGATGTTTTCTAAAATTTTGTACAGAGAACATGTACTATTTGAATAATATTAAAACTGTGTTTTTTTTAAAAAAAAACTTAAATATGTTGTTGAAGAAAATGTTTTAAGTAAGCACACAAATATGTAGTTTCAAAAAACAATTCCATATCCTTCTAGTGCCTATCTAGGGTAGAGCGGACAGTAGGTTAAGGGACAGATCAAAAGGCTATAAATAGCACTGCTCTGGGCCCTTGGTTAGCCCTGGTCTTCAGAAGACACCTCCCCTAACCAGCTGCAGGCACAGAGCCTATAGGCATCTTACTTTGGGGAATAAGATTTAGCTGCCCTTCTCAGAATGGTGGTGAGAAAATCACTTGGCACAGACCCTTCCTTCCCACTGGCCCTGCACCAGAAGGTAGAAACAGTTAATGAGTGCCAACTCTAAACACAGTCTCTGGAATTTCTAAGTTAGATCAAATAACAAGTACGGTAATCATATTTTTTCAACAGGAAGACAAAGATGACTAGTGTCCTTCAAGGCCAGGGGATAAGCAAATCAAGACTCTGCGCCATATCTAGTCTCACTGTAAACCAGCAAGCCTGGAAGAAATGAGGGTACTCTAAAAGAGGCAGCTGTACCAACTCTATAGCTGTCTGGTCTTGGGAAAAAATGAACTCCAATGATTTACAATCTTCCTGGGAATTTCACATCAAGAAAAGAAAATGGCTTAAAAACCACACATAGGGGAAACTTTTCTCTCAAAGATTTGCTTGCAACTTGTCAGCCCTTGTTGCAGGAGTGTGAAGCCTAGGCAGTGGTCAGTTAGAGATAGGTAGAACAGCACCTTGACCAGGACAGCTTGAGATAAGTATCTCTCGCCATCTATTTAAGCTCTCCCCTCATGTAAGGACCCCAGTGAGGGATCAGGGCATGGGGCTGGGGGGGGGATCACTAGATAATTTCCACTGAAGAAATCTCCTTTTTCTGATGTTCATGTTATTTTTGTTCTTTTAATATGGCTTATCAAAGATGGGTAGCTGAGCCTGGCTTGTTAGAGCAGCCAAGGCATAAACTCTGACCCTAACTCTGATAACACTACTGCCTATTTCTGTAAATAAACTTGTACTGAATCACAACTATGTGTATATTCATTTATGTACTTCCTACAGCTGGCCATTCCCACTTCTAGGTTTGGTTGCAAGAGAGACCAATGGCTCACAAACCCCAAATACTTATGTTCTGTCCTTCAAAGATGAAGTTTGTAGACTCCAATTCTAGGACAACAAACTATAACCATACTTATTCCAGCATATCACCAGAATTGTATCCTAACAGGCCAATGAGGACTGTCCTGGGACAAAGATTCCCACCCTCTTAAGCTCATCTCCTGATATCCAGAAATGAGCTTGACCCACCATCCAGAGCCTGGAGACCACCTTTTACTGGATTACCTAGGAAGGTGACCCCAAGGCCGCTTATGAGTGGGAGTCAGAGGGTATGTCAGATGTCAACTCCCTGTACAGATCCTTTCTCCCAGCCGTAACAGTTTACCACCTGTGTTCTCCTCCTCACCTCACACAGAGAAGCCACTGTCAGTCCACGGCTTGAGCTCTTACACAGCTACCTCATCAACACTTTGTTCCTTCACATTCACAGCCTCTCTAACCAGTTTCTGCTGGACAAACACTGAGACCACCACCAAACACAGGAGTGTCTGCTGGTAGGCAGGCAGCAGACAAAGATGCCCCTAGCCTCATGCACGGCCCTTCTTGACTATGCGACAGTGGTCAAATGCTGGGTTGCCACACTAGGGGGCCAGCCTGGCCTACACAGGAAGCCAGTCCTCAGGCTGCTCACCATGAACTCTGGCCAGATGTAGCCCTGGTAGCACATACAATGATTCCATACCACTCTGGAGACTGAGGCAGGAGGATCATGAGTTTGAGACCAGTTTGAACTACATAGCAAAATCCTATCTCAAAAAAAATATATGTATTAAAAATGTATGTGTTAAAAGTATTTGGCTCAGGCAGTGGCCCAGCAATAAGGTTAGGACCTCTGTAATTGGTCACCTGGTCTGAACCCTGGTTCTGCTGACAACTTGCAAGTTAAATGATAAAGGCTTAGCTTTGTCCCTCAGTTTTCTCATCTGGATTTGAGAGTAGATTAGATGCCTCACAAGAAAGTATTTAAGGTATTTATGGCATGCACTGGGTCTCTGGAATCTTTAATTGGTGTGATTATGAACACTGTGACCATGCAGGTACCCTGGTATAGACCCAGTGAAAGCAAAAAGAGCATAAATAACTAATCATACCTTTAAAAAAACAAAAAAGCGAGTGCGAGATCCGCTGCTGCTGAGGAGAGGATCGTCAACTGCAGCACCATGGTAGCTCAACCGAAGAACCTTGAGGGCTATGTGGGATTTGCCAACCTCCCAAATCAAGTGTACAGAAAATCAGTGAAAAGAGGATTTGAATTCACTCTTATGGTAGTAGGTGAATCTGGACTGGGAAAGTCGACATTAATCAACTCATTATTCCTCACAGATTTGTATTCTCCAGAGTATCCAGGACCTTCTCATAGAATCAAAAAGACTGTACAGGTGGAACAATCCAAAGTTTTAATCAAAGAAGGTGGAGTTCAGTTGCTGTTGACGATAGTTGATACCCCAGGATTTGGAGATGCAGTGGATAATAGTAATTGCTGGCAGCCCGTTATCGACTACATTGATAGTAAATTTGAAGATTACTTAAATGCAGAGTCTCGAGTGAACAGACGTCAGATGCCTGATAACAGGGTGCAGTGTTGTTTATACTTCATTGCTCCTTCAGGACATGGGCTTAAACCATTGGATATTGAGTTTATGAAACGTTTGCATGAAAAAGTGAATATCATCCCATTAATTGCCAAAGCAGACACACTTACACCAGAGGAATGCCAACAGTTTAAAAAGCAGATAATGAAAGAAATCCAAGAACATAAAATTAAAATATATGAATTTCCAGAAACAGATGATGAAGAAGAGAATAAGCTGGTTAAGAAGATAAAAGACCGTTTACCTCTTGCTGTGGTAGGTAGTAATACTATCATTGAAGTTAATGGCAAAAGAGTCAGAGGAAGGCAGTATCCTTGGGGTGTGGCTGAAGTTGAAAATGGTGAACATTGTGATTTTACAATTCTAAGAAATATGTTGATAAGAACACACATGCAGGACTTGAAAGATGTTACCAATAACGTACACTATGAGAACTACAGAAGCAGAAAACTAGCAGCAGTGACTTACAATGGAGTGGATAACAACAAGAACAAAGGGCAGCTTACCAAGAGCCCTCTGGCACAGATGGAAGAAGAAAGAAGGGAACATGTAGCCAAGATGAAGAAGATGGAGATGGAGATGGAACAGGTGTTTGAGATGAAGGTCAAAGAAAAAGTTCAAAAACTAAAGGACTCGGAAGCAGAGCTCCAGCGGCGCCATGAGCAAATGAAAAAGAATTTAGAAGCACAGCACAAAGAATTAGAGGAAAAACGTCGTCAGTTTGAAGAAGAAAAAGCAAACTGGGAAGCTCAACAACGTATTTTAGAGCAACAGAACTCTTCAAGAACCTTGGAAAAGAACAAGAAGAAAGGCAAGATCTTTTAAACTCTATTGACCACCAGTTATGTATTAGTTGCCAATATGCCAGCTTGGACATCAGTGTTTGTTGGATCCGTTTGACCAATTTGCACCAATTTTATCCATAATGATGGATTTAACAGCATGACAAAAATTATTTTTTTGTTGTTGTTCTCGAAGGAGATTAAGATGCCTTGAATTGTCTAGGATATTGTGTACTTAGAAATTAACAGCTCTAAGTACCTTTCTACATTTTTCTTTTTTTTTTTTTTAAATTAAAAAGATGTCTTCAGTTTAATGCAAGAAAACATTTTACTGTTGTACAATCATGTTCTGGTGGTTTGATTGTTTACAAAATATTCTAAAATAAAAGGACTCTGGAAGGTTTTCATTGAGGATAAATTGCCATAATATGATGCAAACTATGCTTCTCTATGATAATTATAATACAGAGGTTCCATTCGATGCAGCCTATACAATAATGTATTTAGTCTAACACAGTGGACCCTATTTTTTGACACTTCCATTGTTTAAAAGTACACATGGAAAAAAACCTATATGCTTACAGTGCACCTAGAGCTTTTTATAACAGCCTTTTTTTTTGTTGTTTGTTTGTTTTGGATTCTTTAAATATATAAATATATTATTCTCATTTAGTGTCCCTTTAGCCAGAATCTCATTACTGCTTCATTTTTGTAATAACATTTAATTTAGATATTTTCCATATATTGGCCCTGCTAAATAGAATATAGCATCTTTCATATGGTAGGAACCAACGAGGAAACTTTCCTTTAACTCCCTTTTTACACTTTATGGTAAGTAGCAGGAGGAAAAATGCATTCGTAGATCATTTCTAGGCAAATTGTGAAGCTAACGACCAGCCTGTTTCTACCTATACTCAGTCTTGTTTTACTAGAAATGGGAATCATGGCCTCTTGAAGAGAAAAAAGTCACCATTCTGCATTTAGCTGTATCTATATATTGCATACCTGTATTTTTTTGTTTGTATTGTAAAAAAAAAATCACATAATAAACAATGTTGTGACGTAAAAAAAAAAAAAAACAAAAAAGCTCTCTCTGTAAAGTCCAGGATCACTTCTGAGTCAGGGAGACAGAGGCAGTGCCAGGAAAGGCTAGGTTAGTCCTCACCAGGGTGGTTTACTTAGCAATGTGGTATGAGGCACCACCCCAGAGAGGTGGTTCAGTATGCTGCCTGACAGCTTAAAACACCTTGGAAACATGCTGGACAAAAACACTGCAGACACTTCTCGAACCACTGCTGAGCACAAGGAAAGGCTCTCTGTGTGCTTCACCTCTGACCCACTAGCACACACAGACATGGACGTGGCAACAGCAGACCCCCCCACACCCCAGTTCAAAGGCAGTTTTTATGAGTCAGGCTGCATGAGTCTCCAAGCTAACTTCATGAGTCTGCAGACACAAGCATGTCTTCCTAGATCCGTCCCATTCCTATCTACAAGAGGGAAGGGGGGAGAGCGGAGGAAGCAGGCAGCTATTGCCCAGGAAGTCTGCTCTGGCTAGTCACAGGACATTCTAGGTGAGAGGAGGACATTCTCAACAAACCTGGCCACAGCAATGCCCAGCATGCCCTTTGATGCCCAGTGGTAGCTACCAAGACCTTGGGGGGCAAGAACCATTCAGTTACTTTTCGATTTCTCAAAGAACTGAATTGTCTGTGAGCACTATCAAATGACAACCACTGGCAAACTTCAGCAATTTGTTCTGGCTCCCGTCTCCATGCCAGGATTGGAGACAAACACACACCTGGCATTTTATATGAACAGTCTCCAGGACATACCATCCAACCTAGTGAACAGCGGGTCTTCTAGTTCCTGGACACTTAGCAAACTACAGGCTAACAGACAGACAGCAAAGATCGGTTTCCAGCTCCAGCTTAGATACCAACTATTGTGTGACCTCCGGACACTAGTTCTGCTCCTGGGGCCAGTGTGGCCCACTTCCTCATGTGTAAATCAAGACAGTGCTACTTACCCTTGGAGTACAGAAGGATGACAAGGAGCCACACAGAGCTCTTTCTGAAGTGATCTTTTCAGATTTAAGCAGGTCTGGAGAGTGTAATTCTTAAAAGAATTCGGAAGAACCCATGTAGACGTTCTACGAAACAGCAGGGGAGGTACAGTCCTGTGTTGACTTCACAAAGGTGTAAGCAGAGAGTCTATATACCACAGGAAAAGCCAGCCCAGTGTGGTGCAGGGGTAGAAAACTGGGAAACATCTCTCTGCTTTAAACACATACACACATACACACACACACACACACACACACACACACAGCACTTTCTCTCTCAGCACCCCACGAGATTCCGTCTCTCCCATACTTAGCCCTGTACCTACTCCCTCTGTAACAACCCCTTTGCTCCTTCCCCTCTAGAACACGAATGATCAGATATGAACACCTTCAAATCTTGGTCCCTCATCTCAGACCCTCTCTTCTAGTCTTTTTCTTGTGCATATCCCCTTTTACATAAGCCCTTGTTTTCAATCCCACAATTCATGCCCAGCCTCCCTGCACCAAACACAGAAACACTCCTGTAGACTCTGCTATCCTAGGAAGAGAGCGCACACACCCCACTACTCCTCTGTGACATCAGAAGTACAAGTCAGTGGGACTTCTCAACCTACCTCCACCATGACTCTCCACTTCCTGTCAGCTTCACACATTCCCACAACTCTCCCCTCAACTTCCTTCAGCAAAATCTCTTCACCTGTTCCACACTCTGCAGCTGAGCCAGCTCAAGCTGGTCTAGCCCTCCTGCCTCCCCAACTCTGTGCTATCTTCTGGGTTGCTTCCTTCTGCCCATGAGCTACTCAAGGCCTCCCCATTCTCAGGCCAAGTAGACGCTCCGATGCGAGTTCCCCACATCTGTACCACACAGCCATTCCAGTACTACAAGCAACTACAAGGCACACACAGGAACTTTGAACAGTGATGGAATATTCTAACTTTGACTGTGGTAGTGGTTAATGATATATTTTCTTCAATTGTGTAGGAAATGGGTGAATTTAGTGCATGCAAATTTTATCTTAATAAAAAAAAAGGATAGAATAAAATAGTTCCAATGGCACTCAGCCCCACTATGTCTGACACTAACATTGTCACCTTCTTCCCAAATGAGTTCCTTCTCCTATGACCTTTATTTTCAGTACTGACACCATTATACAACTTCTTCATCTAGAACTCTGACCCATATACCCTACCTGTATATATTCAGTCCACACGCTGAGTCCTATGGTCCCTCTGATTCCACTACCTGTGACTCAGGTCACCCTGTCCTTAAAGGCTGCCCCTCCCTCCCCTGCACGCCCAATTCCCATCACACAGCCAACTAGAGAAGCAGCAGGACCTTTGAGCTCCACCCCCACCTCCTTTCCCACTGGCTCCCCTCAGTTCTTGACTGTTAACAGGAATGTTAGAACTATTTCCAGCTGCCAAACCAAGACAACACTTATAATATTCCTGTCTAATTTTGCACACGGCTCTGATTTCAACTGACAAAGATAATGACTCAATGTCCGTGGCTCTTAACGGAAAATTATCCTGCCGAGTTGTGAGCTTCCCAATAATAAACCTCTCTTAAGAAGGAAGTGATTTCCCTTCCAGATCTTTTTCTGTGCGTAACAAAGGGCACCCCAAAAACCTCTACTTGGAATGTTCCACCCCCCTCCCAGCTGCAGAATCCTGACATATTCCCACAGAAATACAAATTCACTGTAGAAGCTTGGGATATTTTTCTTTTCCAGTGCATTATCTTTCATTTCATCTGAATAGCCATCATTTTAGGACTTAATAATAAATTTTGGTTTCACTGAAAGCAAAATGTAGACCCAAAGGCCTTTGCTCTGCACAAAAGAAGACATGGTTTCTGGTGCTAACCAACTAGAAATGAATTCTACAAACTATATATATGCAGACACTGCATCAAAACACCTGCGTGTGCGTGCATGCATACATGTGGTGTGCAGCCAGGCACTCCCGGCAGACACAGGCATTCCCTCCTTCCACATTACAAGACACACACATGGCTAAGCAAAATACGTGGATAAAAAGAGTGTGCCCTCAGAAAAGTCTTAGTCAGCACTCAGACAGCTCCCACTTGTTTGCTCACCATTGAAGAACCATCTTATGGTGTTTTCCTGTGCTTACCCACCAAGTCTCCCGAAATTCCTAGGGGCAGAAACTACCAGTTTTCCACATCTTCATAATTTGAGCCTACCCAAGCACATTCATCAGGCACAAAGACCCAGGGTTTCTGCCTCCAAGTCTCCTTTGGGATGTTTCTCCCCTGCCACCCTGTGCACTCAGGGTTTCTTTAAAGTCCCATCCGCATGCCTTCCACCATTTGTATACAGCAGTGACATAACACTGTCCTAAACTTCCCAACTACTTGTGGACAAATTGTACAGAGGTCCCTCGCACCATGGGACGACCCTGTCTTGAGTCTTGCCTGCATAGCTCTTAACCAAATATGCTATTCAGGGTTTATTTGGCAATGTCTGGAGGCATTTTCAATTGTCATGATTGGTGGGATTGGGTGTGCAGGGAATGTCACTATTTGTCTAGCAATACAAGCCATGGATTCAGCTACATGCCCTACAAGGCACAAGACAAGCAGGCACAGTAAACAAGGTCCAACGTGTTTATAGTTTGGACCACGTCTCCGGTGGTTCATTAGCCCAGAGAGAATACACAGATTGCCTGTCTCACATTTGCTTTGTGTCACCTGGTCCAAAAATTATAATTCAGCTGTCTTCATTATTTACAAGACTAAATATAGCATCCAAAGCTACCCTCAGAGTCGTACAGATGCTGCTCTTGTAAGCCAACAAACCCCTCCAGCCTCTTCTCAGAAGTGCCTTCCTCACTCTGTTTCCCAACAGCCTCCCTGCCAGCATGGCCACCCGCCATAGCACAACTAGATGTCTGGCAAGATCTAGTCCAAATCCTCCGGCAAGAAGGTTGGCCTGACACACCCCAGCTCCAGAGTCCTTTTCCACAGACACCAAGTCCAAGTGAGCCTAAATCAATTTTCTATAGAGCTGCAAGCCCAACCCAGATTGGATGTCTGCACACAGCCTTTGCCCCTTCAGGAAGCCCAGCCAACGGAGGGTCCTGGCACCCAGAGCCGCCCCTACAACGCTCTGTCCCCCTCACACTCAGAAAGTGGCTTGGCTGAGCTATGTGACAGCTTCTGTGCAAGAAAATGCTGGAGTTGTCCAAATTGCTAGTGTGATCACCATTGTTTGAAAAAACAAGAGGAAGGACCGAAAAGAAACGAAGAAAAGGAACAAGGAAGAGACGTCTTCCCCGACTTCACCCCAGCCGTGAAACGCAGCAGCTGGCCCGGG